ATATGGCAATTTTGGTTTTATTTCGATTATTCGATTTTTATTTTCGCCCTAAATAGGAGCTGCTTGCCTCAGATCAGCTTCACATTCAACAGCTGCTTTCTTCTAAGAGTTCTTGTGAATCTGTCCTTAAATGGTTCAAATGTTGACCATTATGACATTAGGCTGCTTTCAAGAAGTCTGCTTTTTCCTCCTCCGTCTGTAGTCGAGGGGGAAGGGAGCATTTTGTTCGTAGGAGAAACTTCAGCAATCACCTGCTTGTTTGAGCAATACAGCAATACTTTATTTTCTCTAAGTATATAATGTTGATTTCCCACACATCTCAAATCAAGGGCCCTGTATTGATCAGTGTGACTCAATCCAGTGTTTTATAGAGCGTGTGCCGCAGGCTATTAGTGATGTTTACAGTACTTATTACAATGTATTCTCTCAGAGAAACACTAGCTCAGGATTTTGAACTCTCAATGACTCTCTGAAACCTGGATCACAAAAGTGACAATGCACACGCGCAGCTTTTGTGTTCATGTGGTGTTTTGTTCTGAATGACGTAAATCGGTGGCTTTATTATTTAAAGCTGACTGATGCATACTGACTGGAAATGCAGAAAGAAAATACAGAAGCAGAATTAAGACTAAAATAAGCTCATGATGTGGACGTCACACCAGCCTCTGTTCCTGGAGCTCAACATGCCACGAACAAATCAAGGTCATGGGTTTGATTCTCAGGAACACACATACTGGCAAAATGCATGACTCGAATGCACTGTAATTCACTGTGGATAAAAATGACGGTCAGATGCATTCATGCTGGTGTGATTTTCAGGGGGATTTTCCAGCCTCACTTCTGCTCAGATCTGGCATGCATTTCCCATTTCTGACAGTAGATGCTGATGTCAATTTTCCAACCGACATACTAAAGCATGCATTACAGATTCTTCCAAGTGGAATGATATTATTTTATAATTTTAGGTCTAATGTTCATAAAGCATGAGATGAGATTATCTGTATTTGGAGAAATATTGTCTATTGTCTACTCCCATCACTCTTTCATGACACCAAAACAGATTTCCATTTTAGCGTTTGTTATAGGTTTTATTTTCAGCGTTACAAGCAACCTAGTAAAACACTATACGATTAAGATACTACAAACTGATCGGGAAAGAAGGTGATCAAAATGTTTGAAATGGTTTCAAATATGTTCAAAATGCTTTAAACCTCATGGGGCCTGTAATTTATATAAATACATTTATAGTCAATAAGTTAAAGTATTTCAGTTATTTTCTGTATTTTTACTTTTCATTTAATATGAATTACATTGTATTTCTAAATATGTACATTAAAATTTCAGTGATGACATTCTTATTCAAATATCCCTGAGTGTGTGAGTGTGTGAGTGTGTGAGTGTGTGTGTGTGCGTTTTTATTTTTTCATGAATCACACCCTGCATACATCCAAATAGTTTCTGCAATCAAGCACTGTTCATCAAAAAGGAATCCAAAATTGCACCATTGTGTTTTAAACGCTGTTATTTTTGCTCAAGACCAGAAGATTAAATAAATAAATAAATGGCATTTAAAATGTATTAAATAAATAACATAAATAAATAAATAAATGGCATTTAAAATGTATTAAATAAATAACATAAATAAATAAATGGCATTTAAAAATGTATTAAATAAATAACAAATAAATAAATAAATGGCATTTCAAATTAATTAAATAAATAACAAATAAATAAATGGCATTTAAAATGTATTAAATAAATAACATAAATAAATAAATGGCATTTAAAATGAATTAAATAAATAACATAAATAAATGGCATTTAACATTTATTAAATAAATAACAAATAAATAAATGGCATTTAAAATGTATTAAATTAATAACATAAATAAATAAATGGCATTTAAAATGAATTAAATAAATAACATAAATAAATGGCATTTAACATTTATTAAATAAATAACAAATAAATAAATGGCATTTAAAATTAATTAAATAAATAACAAATAAATAAATGGCATTTAAAATGTATTAAATAAATAACATAAATAAATGGCATTTAAAATGTATTAAATAACAAATAAATGGCATTTAACATTTATTAAATAAATAACAAATAAATAAATGGCATTTAAAATTAATTAAATAAATAACAAATAAATAAATGGCATTTAACATTTATTAAATAAATAACATAAATAAATGGCATTTAAAATGTATTAAATAACATAAATAAAAAAATACATTTAGAAATAAATAAATAAATAAAAACACTTAAATGTAATTTGAATGCCAATTAAGCAGATTTCCCTCTAAAAGTTCTTAATATCATATCTAAACTATTCTTTTAGATATACATTTTAAAATTTTGAATATTCACAATATAATATTTTAGTTAATTATTATTAATTAGTGTAAAAGTCACAGAGTACTACTGTAATATAGAAAACAAATTATTTTAGTGACATATTTTAATGATTTTAACATCAAGTAAATTAAATACAACAAATAAAAGCATCTTGTTTACTTATTTTCATAAATCTTTTGATTTGGGAGTGAAACATGACTGGGGCATGTATTCGACAGGTTTAGTGAAAATCAGCCCTGTATCAGAATACAGAAATGAAAAGGGTCTAAATATTGAGCACAAATCAAACTGACAACCTTACTGTGTCTATTTTGTGTCAAGCGAGTGGTTTATATTTACATTTTCTGTGGTAATAAGCTGCTCCGGTTAAAAGTGTTAAAAACACAAAAAAGTACAATTACTGGTAATCACATCAGCTGTTAATCAACTATCAATATCGGCCTGGAAATGCAGTGCATCGCTGAATCTCAAATAATAATTCTCTTCACATTCCTGTTTAATGCTCATATGAATGAACCGGTTTCTACAAAGCATAAGCATGTCCATAAAGATAGCTGGAAACAAAAAAAGCACATCTAGAAAACCTTCTAAAGTTCCAAACATCTGTTATTATTCTGATCTGCAAAAGATTTAAATAAAATACACAAATCTTTGGCTTTGTCGGGCTGGAAAAACCAAAGCTACGGCGGCCAAAACAGATCCCAGGCCAGTCGGGAATAACCTCAGAGAGCTGCAGAGTGGGGTTAACGGGTGTTGAAGGGTGTTTTAACTTTAAGGGTGTGGTGAACAGGACACAAGGCCTTGAGAAACACCAAGGAGTCACAGCAGCTCAGCAGAGAACTCCAAAGAAGTTTGTACAGCAGTTTGTAAACACTCTACCTCTCTCAAAACTGACAACAATACAAATATAAACACATATGCTTGTGTGTGTGTGTGTGAGTGTCTAAGCTACTAATGGACTTTGTTACCGTCTTTGTTACATTGATGCAGATGTGAAAACACCTGGATTGACCCTGATATTACAGTATAGATGATTTAGCTGTCTGCAGACTTTACCTGACGCTTTAGGTGTTTAATACTCTACCACAGATTAACAGAAATACTTGTGAAATAGCAACTCTTTTGGCGTGTCGTGCTGCTGGTGTGTAACTCGATCCTCCTGATCACATCCCCAGCCTTTGTTCAGGCAAACCAGCCAAACAATCCCAAAAATACACCACTAAACACCTTCATTAGGAGGAAGAAGTTCATTAAAGATCTTTACAGATGTCCACTTACATAGTGTTTGTTGGGGTTTCTTCTCTTTTGCACGTCTTGAACAGTTACTTCTTGTACAGTCCGCCGTGGCATGTTGCAATAATCTCAGACTTCTAGATACAATGTAGCGTTCGGTCCCTGATCAAGTTTTCCGCATCGGCTCCTGGTCATTCGCTTGTTTGTATCTCGGTTTCTGCGGGTTTATGGTCCACGTCGGATTTCCTGCAGTCTGGACCGAGAGAACTCCCAGCCTATCCCAGCTCACCGACTCTAATTTAATTAAAAACCAACGCATTCGCACATCCTACTATGGCAACGCGTGACTCATGAATATTAAATACGTACCGCGACGTTCGCCGAATAACCGTAGCTGATTGGCTCAGAGGTAGACATTGGCCGTTGGGCTGAATTAATTATTCCAAATATGGTGAAGAATTATCTTATGAATATTAATTAGGCTACGTGACCAGACGATCACTGGGAACGCCAGATGACTTCATTAATATTCATTAGTTAACCCTTCGCTATAGTACGATTCGTCATTTCGCTCATCCAAGACCAACTTAAAGGGGAAGCGCACTATCATTTGCGTTGACACAAATGCAGTTTTCACTGTGTGTATAGAGCTCACGGCACAAATCTGCAAATATTTTCGTCTTTATTTATTTATTTATGTTTGTTTGTTTGTTGCAGTAAACATTAGCTGTGTAAGAGTAGGAATACCAAACACAGGGCCAGCTATAATATGAATTTTTGTATTTAATATTCTTTATTCACAATCAATTGCACACATTTTTTGGGGGGCTGACTACAAAGGTAGGCCCTATAAATATTTATCTCTACAACAAATTAACAAGCAATGAGACACAAACTGTAAATTTTTGAGAGCACATATCTCTACTACACAAGTAAAACGTCAGCCAATAATAATAATAATAATAATAATAATAATAATAATAATAATGTTCATGAGAAGAGCTAGAAAGCTAGAAGCTTCAGTAAATGTCATATGGTGGGATGCTGTCATGCTGCCAGTCTGTCTGTGTGGTAGTTACCATTTGGAAAATAAACATTGAGATGTAATAGCAAACATGGATGCCAAAACACAAATGTCTTGATGTCTTCTCGTTAAAACTACTATACATAATTTAAATTCAAATCTATTTGTAGTTCATAGTCTGAGATGTCTACTTTCACATCATTCGAATATGAAAAATAAAATAGAAGGTGTGGAGTAAATCTGAAGATAATAATAATAGCAACAACATCAACAATATATTTTATTTGTATTTCCCTATTGTTCTGTAGATTCATGCTGCCATCTTGTGGTACTTTATTTTCATTTTATTTTTATTTTCAACTAAATACTTCATGAAAGGATTACATACAGTATATATTATTTTATTGCTTGTAAAAACAGTCAATTTGTCATGTTATTTAAATGAAGGTGTAATGCCATGCACTATAACTCCTAATGAAAGCATTAAGAATTGGTTTAACTGAATGAATGATTTAAAGCCTGATTAAATGCATAAACATGTCTTATATGAAGGGCGAGGGATCAGAGCCATCACACATCTGAAGCTCCAGGTGTGAGGTGATGCCAGAGAAACGCTCCTGTAGGGGTAACAGGTAACCCATGGCCTCTCCCTGAACTACAGAGCCAAAGAAAACATACGGACGGATGTTGAAGATCTTCACACAATGCACTGAGGAAAGATAAATAAATAACTATGGGTCAAAGACAAATAAGTATGTCTAGTTTAATACTACTTTAAAATGCATGTGGCAAGTCATTCAAAATGTAATGTAATGAAATATGTTCCTTGATGCGTAGCTATTTTATTGACAAGGGCAGTATCATATACCTTTGTTATAGAGTTTGACACCATCATACTGAATGGAGTCTCCCACTGCTCTCCCAACAGGACCACCCAGGTTTCCCGAGAAAGGAGCATTGACGATGCCATAATCACCACACACAATATCGATTCCCTTGTGGATCCTCCCATCACTGAGGACACAAGATAAATAATGCGGCTCAAAAAGCAAAGGCGAAGCAAGAGAAAGTTACTGTTCTGGAAAACGCTTGAATAAACAGAGGAATGTTTTGATAGCTCCACAGGAGCGCAGTGTTTACTCTTTTCATGGAAATAAAATTATGAATGGCTTACTTATAGTTGTCTCTGCACTTTGACGGCAATATGAGCACATATTTTAACTTTATACATAATTGTTGTTAAAAAAAAAAAAAAACTTTTGAGCAATTAGATCTAAGAGACTGTGTTAAGAGACTGTGAATATAGCTGCCACTAAAGAGTGCTGTTAACTCTAAATGGGATAGTTCACCCAAAAATTATAAATTCCATCATCATTTATGTATGATCTTCTTTATTCTTTGGAACACAAAAGATATTTTGAAGAAACCAAAGTTTTTTTTTTTTTGGTGACCTTTGAATTCTAGAGTGCAAGTCTAAAAGGGGCACGTTTTTTGTTTTTTAAGAATAGAATTAGAATAGAGAGTGCTAGAGTTAGAGGGTCAAGTAAAGATGGAAGAGATTAAAGCGACGTTCACTTTCAGAACGCAAGCTTCTAGAGGCACATAAGTCTGAAGTAATGAATTTAGGTAAAGGGGTGCAGAGCCAGTGGTGGTTTTGTAGGCAAACATTAATGCCTTGAATTTTATGCGAGCAGCTATTGGTAGCCAGTGCAAATTGATAAACAGAGGTGTGACGTGCATTCTTTTCGGCTCATTAAAAATTAATCTTGCTGCCGCGTTCTGGATTAATTGTAAAGGTTTGATAGAACTCGCTGGAAGACCTGCCAAGAGAGCATTGCAAATAGTCCAGCCTGGACAGAACAAGAGCTTGAACAGGGAGTTGTGAAGCATGTTCCGAAAGAAAGGGCTTGATGTTCTTGATGTTTTAGCAATGTGGTCTGAGAAAGTCAGCTGATCATCAATCATAACTCCAAGGTTTCTGGCTGATTTTGAAGGAGTTGTGGTTGATGTGCCTAACTGGATGGTGAAATTGTGATGAAACGATGGGTTTGATGGAACTACAAGCAGTTCTGTCTTGGCAAGGTTGAGTTGAAGGTGATGGTCCTTCATCCAGCAAGAAATGTCTGTTAGACAAGCTGAGATGCGAGCAGCTATCGTCGGATCATCAGGATGGAATGAGAGGTAAAGTTGAGTGTCATCAGCATAGCAGTGGTATGAAAAGCCATGTTTCTGAATGACAGAACCTAGTGATGCCATGTAGACAGAGAAGAGAAGTGGTCCAAGAACTGAGCCCTGAGGCACCCCAGTAGCTAGATGTTGCGACTCGGACACCTCACCTCTCCAAGATACCTTGAAGGACCTATCTGAGAGGTAAGACTCAAACCACTGGAGTGTGGTTCCTGAGATGCCCTTTGCCAATAGGGTTGACAGGAGAATCTGGTAGTTCACCGTATCAAAAGCAGCAGACAGAGCCAGCAAAATAAGTATAGAAGATTTGGAAGCCGCTCTTTCCAGTCTTAGGGCTTCAACAACTGAGAGCAAGGCAATCTCGGTTGAATGTCCACTACTGAAACCAGACTGGTTGCTGTCGAGGAGGTTGTTCTGTGTAAGAAAGGCAGAAACTTGGTTAAACATAAAATTTTTATATAAAAGTGTTGTTTTGGGATGAAGTAACAAAAAAACAAACACACAGGGCCCACATTTTGGATTCACTTCTGCTGATATGTCACATAATATGTATATAAACACAGGATGATGCTGTATTTTCCTAAAAAACCTGTTCGTTCTACTAATAAAAATATTTCGAGCAGGCTAACAGCAAACTGTTGCGTTTACGTTATTTGTGTCAGAGCAACGGACACCCAAAAGTTTGATTTAAAATGTACTAGAACAGAAACGCATTATAACTCCAAGGTTTCTGGCTGTTTTTGAAGGAGTTATGGTTGATGTACCTAACTGGATGGTGAAATTGTGATGAAACGATGGGTTTGATGAAACCACAAGCAGTTCTGTCTTGGCAAGGTTGAGTTGAAGGTGATGGTCCTTCATCCAGCAAGAAACGTCTGTTAGACAAGCTGAGATGCGAGCAGCTATCGTGAATGTTTGAATGTGAATATTTGAATGTTGAGCTATCGTGAATATTTGAATGTTTGGCAGTGAGCTCATTGGCTACCGATACAGGAGAGAACCAATCAGCTGTGCCATGTGATATTTTACCTAGAAATGTTGGTTACACTTTATTTTAAGGTGTCCTTGTTACAGTGTAGTTATACATTTAAGTACTGAGTAATATTAATTAACTACATGTACTTACTATAGGGTTAGGGTTAGGATTAGGGTTTGGTTTAGGGTTACTTGCATGCAAATATGCATAATTAATTGTTATTATAATAGTAAGTACATGTAACGTGTAACAAGGACACCTTAAAATAAAGTGTTACCGAAATGTCTACACGACCAAAAGTGCCCATAGCTGAAGAAACTCCTTAATTATATATTTTTAAATAGGTAGTGATTGTTTTATAAAAGCAATAATGCACCTAAGTTTGTGTTGTTAATGAATATCCACGGCATGTACTACCTAATGACCTATAGTTGTGATTAATTTTTACAATATAGCACAACTTCTCATACCTCATTACTTAAACGATTGCTATGTAATAAAATAAGTTCAAAGTCACCAGTTATCCCAAGATTTGCTTTGTAATTTGTGGTATTTCAGTTTATTTATTTACTTATTTATTTAGATATAATGGATGATGTCTCAGGAAAAAAGCTGTTTCTGAAATACCTCCTGGAATTAAAGGCACCACAGCCATAGCTGTCACAAGCTCGCACTCTGTTATGATGACTTCCAGCACACAGAGCACTCCACGCTGCAACTGAAAAAGGCCACAGGAGTTAGTTTGTCTCATTTAGTTAAAAGAAACCAATGAACATTGCATCTAGTCAGAAAGTGCAAAATCAGACCTGGCGTACAACACTGGCGTGATATCTCTCCCCGGCATTTATCCTTCAGGTATCTGCCCTGACAGATGTAGATATTACTCTGACAGATACCTCCAATGCTGGTGCAGCCCATGTCGTTTCTTGGCTTGGCTCCTCTTGACCGGTTTAAGATCTCTTTGCCTTTTCCAATCACGGTCAGTCTCTCATCAGACTGGGCGATTTTCATTTCCTCCCCCTGAACTTTCCGTTTTATTGTTTTCTTGTCATTTTCAAAGCAAATACCCACGAGAAACACTGCAAGAAGCATTATGGATACATTCTTTATAAGTGTTTAAAATAAAACTGTGTTATACTGTAAAATAATACACAGTTAGGTCCATATATATTTGGACACTGACACAATTTTCATAATTTCGGCTCTGTATGCCACCAGAATAGAATTTAAATGAAACAATCAAGAGGAAATTGTAGTGCAGACTTTAAGCTTCAATTCAGGGGGTTGAACAAAAATATAACATGCTTAGGAATTACAAATATTTGTATACACAGTCCCCCCATTTTCAGGGCCTCAAATGTAATTGGACATATGAATATAATCATAAACAAAGTGTTTTTTTTTGCAGGCAACAACTGCCTTAAGTCTGGAACTGATGGACATCACCAAAGATTGGGTTTCCTCTTTTGTGATGCTTTGCCAGGCCTTTACTGCAGCTGACTTCTGTTATTGTCTGTTTGTGTGTCTTTCTGCCTTTAGTTTTGTCTTCAGCAAGCGAAATGCATGCTCAGTTGAGTTGAGATCAGGAGATTGACTCGGCCATTGCAGAATGTTCCACTTTTTACCTTCAAAAACTCCAGGGTTGCTTTTGCTGTATGTTTTGGGTCATTGTTCATTTGTACTATGAACCGCTGTCCAATCAACTTGTCTGCATTTGGCTGAATCTGGGCAGACAGTATATCCCTATACACTTCAGAATTCATCCGGCTACTTCTGTCTTCTGTCACGTCATCACTAAACACCAGTAACCCAGTGCCACTGGAAGCCATGCATGCTCATGCCATCACACTGCTCCACCATGTTTCACAGATTATGTTGTATGCTTTGGATCATGAGCTGTTCCAAGCCTTTTCCATACTTTTTTCATCCCGTCATTCTGGTACAGGTTGATCTTAACTTCAGTCATCCAAAGAATGCTTTTCCAGAAGTGGTCTGGCTGTTTTAGATGTTTTTTGGCAAAGTCTAATCTGGCCTTGTTTCCACTTTGCGGTGAACCCTCTGTATTTGCTCTCGTGAAGTCTTCTCTTGATTGTAGACTTTGAGAGTGACACGCCTACCTCCTGGAGAGTGTTCTTCTCTTGGTTGGATGTTGTGAAAGGGTTCCACTTCAGGAACTCGAGCTGCGTCGAAACGCTATGGGAACGTATTCAGCGTGACCACGCTCTGAATCATGTGTGTAATCAATACTCCAAAGGAGTGGCGAGACGTCATGGCCTGGGTGACGTAGTGACCAGGAAGCTTAAAAGCACGCGCGGTGGAGACAGCGGCAGCTTCTGCCATTCAGTAAGTGCTCTCTGTGTGTGCTTTCTATTTATTGTTGTGTGTCTTTGAGAAAAGATTATTATGGCATTTAAAAGTAGCAACAAACAGCGTTTCAAGCTGTGTGTTATTCCCTGCCCTTGTTTCATTACGGGTGGGGATATGCACAGTTTGTGTGTTGTTTGTTTGGGAGCGGAGCATGCTCAGTTAGCTCTCGAGGGGGCTGACTGCCCGCATTGCGAGCGGCTCTTGCTGCGGACACTTCACTCCCGGAGGGCTCTCTTTGAGGAGGGAGCCCTCGCTAGCGTTCTTCGTGGCTCAGACCGCAAATGGATTTGGTGGAGGGAATGGAGATGGGCCAGTCCCTTATTTCTTCCTCACCCACCAGATCCAGCGCTCTCTCCCAGGGATCGGAAGCACACTCTGTGGTTTCTTCCCCCCGGGGAGAGGGCTCGACGCTCCACCTATCATCCTCCGAGGAGGTCGATGTGGAGAGCGTTGATGAGACTGTGGATTCGCCACCCCAGTCTGCCCAGTATGAGGAGTTGTTGGAGGTAGTAACTTGTGCCGTGGCCAAGTTAGTGGGCAAAGGGTACATGGCAGTGGGTCAGGTTGGTGCTTGCCTGCACACCATGGTGGTGTTGCAGGCCTACCAAGCCGACCTGCTGAAGGAGCTCGATGAGGGCGAGGAAGTGAAGGCCGATGACATTAAAGAGCTGCCTCGGACCGCTGATTTGTCTCTCTGCACCACCAAAGAGACCGCCAGAGCCATCGGCAGGTCTATGGCAGCCATGGTGCCCGTGGAGAGGCATTTATAGTTGACCCTGTCTGATATTAAGGAGAAAGACAGGGTCTTCCTCCTGGATGGCCCGCTTGCGCCTTCTGGCCTGTTCAGCGACGCTGTTAACTCGGTCGTCGACAGATTTCAGGAGGCCCGTAAACAGGTGGCGGCGTTCCAGCGGTTCCTCCCTTGCCGCTCACTTGGCTCCGGGGCTGCTGGGTGGGAGCAGCCATCCGTGTACCAGCTCCTCATACCAGGACACACAAAAACAGAGCATCGCCTCTCGTGCTCCTCCGCAGCGGGTTCGAGAGTCTCAGCGACGCTCTAAGTCGGGGTCTTCTAAACCAAAGACGGATCTGAGGACCATCCTTCTGGCGAAGGACAGAAGACCTCGGCCAAAAAGTCCTGACGCTCGCAGCTCAGGACTTCTGAGGGCAGGCCTCTCTGGGGAAGAGTGGTGTACACCTCATCATACTGTGCCTGTCTCTCCTCAGCGCCCTCAGGAGATCAGTCTGTCAACCCTGCCACCCCCGGTGCTAGAGGGCACAGCGGTCTCCAGCGAGTGTATCCCCCAGCATCCGCCTCAAGGGGGTTTTCCCACTCTGGTGGGCCCCGGCAGGCTCTGGTTATGGAACAGGAAGTAGACACTCTCTTGAGGAAGGAGGCCATAGAACGTGTTCCTCCTCTCTCGAGAGAGTCCAGGTTCTACAGCCGCTACTTCATCATTCCGAAGAAGGACGGGGGGTTGAGTCTTATTCTAGATCTGCGTCACCTGAGCCGTTCAGTAATGCGGCTGGAGTTCAAGACGCTGACACTCAAACAGGTTGTGTCTCAAATCAGGTCCGAGGACTGGTTTGTCATAATAGATCTGAAGGACACAAACTTCCATGTTTCTATTCTTCCTCAACACAGGAAGTTCTTGAGGTTTGCTTTTGGGGGCGAAGCTTACCAATATCGGGTTCTTCCTTTCGGTCTTGCACTCTCACCCCGCACTTTCTCCAAGTGAGTGGATGCTGCTCTGGCTCCTCTGCAACTCCAGGGCATACAGAACTATATCGACGATTGGTTGATATTAGCTCAATCGGAGCAGATAGCAGCTCAGCATCGAGATGTCGTCCTCACCCATATGAAAGAACTTGGGCGACTGAATGCCAAGTGTGCTTTCTCCAGTACAGAGGACCACTTGGGTCTGATGGCAGCTGCGTCCAACTTGATACCTTTTGGCCTGCTGTACATGAGACCCCTATAGTGGTGGCTCATTACCAAGGGGCTTTCCCCGAGGGTAAATGATCAAGGTCACGCGACGATGATTTCAGGCTTTAGACATGTGGATGAAGCCTTGGTTCCTGTCTCAGGGCCCGGTGCTGGGGACTCCTTGTCGTTGCGTAACGCTAACGACGGATGCCTCCCTCACCGGTTGGGGAGCGGTCATGAGTGGCCGCTCAGCCCGGGGTCTGTGGAGCGGCCGCCATTTCACGTGGCACATCAACTGCCTGGAGATGCTGGCTGTGTTTTAAGCATTGAAACACTTTCTCCCGGACCTAAGGGGCCACTATGGTCTCCGTTCGTGCCCCCTTTACAGGCTGGCGCACCAGATCCTCCTGTGGTCCCAAGGGAAACTCCTCTCCTTGAGAGAAGGTCACATCCCTGGGCACCTCAACCTCGAGGCTTCATCTGTATGCCTTTCCCCCGATTGCTCTGCTCCCAGTAGTTCTGGAGAGAGTGCGCCAGGACGAAGTCCGTCTTCTGCTAGTTGCCCCATTCTGGCCAGGCCGAGTATGGTTCTCGGACCTGATGACCCTTCTCGACGGCTCTCCATGGGAGATTTCCGTCAGGAGGGACCTCCTCTCTCAGGCAGGGGCACCATCTTTCACCCCTGCCCGGAGTTGTGGAAACTGTGGGTGTGGCCCCTGAGGGGGCACAGCTCATAGCTTCCGGTCTCTCAATTGAGGTTGTTGAGACCATCCTCCAGTCCAGAGCTCCCTCAACGAGGAAACTGTACGCCTTGAAGTAGAACCTCTTCACTTCTTGGTGCGGCAACCGCCAGCTCGACCAAGTTACTGCCCAGTTGGTTCAGTGCTGGAGTTCTTGCAGGACCGGTTCTCCGCAGGGCTAACCCACTCCACCTTGCAGGTCTACATGGCGGCCATAGCTGCTTACCACGCCCCTCTTGGTGGTCAGTCTTTGGGGAGACACCCTCTAGTTACACGTTTCCTCCACGGTGCGCTGAGGCTGAGGCCTCCGGTACGTTCTCGAGTCCCTCCATGGGACCTGGCAGTGGTTATGGAGGCTCTCTGCAAACCGCCCTTCGAGCCCCTCGAGGAGGTTTCAGATCGAGCTCTGACAGACAAGACTGTCTTCCTCTTAGCCATCTCTTCCCTGAAGAGAGTCAGCGACTTACAGGCCCTCTCAGTGGCCCCTTCCTACTTGGACTTTGCACCTGGTATGGCCAAAGCCTTCCTGTACCCCAGACCGGGGTGCGTGCCTAATGTGCCCTCCTTCGTCCCATGGCCGGTCGTACTGCAGGCCTTCTGCCCTCCTCCCTTTCGGGGCCCCAGACCAGCAAAAGCTTAACTGTATGTGTCCAGTGCGAGCACGGGCTGGTCCACGCCACTCATTTTTATGAGGTTTTACGACCTCGTTGTTCGTGCCACTCCTGGCTCCTCTGTTCTCTCACCTTAGCTGTAATCTTCCACACTAGGCAGGGATTTGCAAGTCTGGCAGCGAGGGCATTCTTGTTCCCATAGCGTTTCAACACAGCTTGATTTCCTGAAGGGGAACTTCCCTAGGTTATGTATGTAGCCATGGTTCCCTTAGGGAACGAGAAGCTGCGTCTCATTGCCATACTTCCAGCATCCCTGCAAGCGCTTCCTTCTTTTACCAGAAGCTGCCGCTGTCTCCACCGCGCGTGCTTTTAAGCTTCCTGGTCGCTACGTCACCCTACCTGTAACGTCTTGCCACTCCGTTGGACTGATTACACACATGATTCAGA